GATGTCATGTTGCCTAATATATGATTTGGTTTTACTTGAACATTGTGGAGTTATATGTCTAGAAAGACTACAGGAGGTCATCTATATCAATTTTAATTTGTCAGAAGTACTTCCTATGAAGTTTCTACCTTTGATTTTTCCTTGTGGATATATTAATTCCTTTCCATACAAATTGTTTATTTAAACGTTAGTTAGTATTAAGTACTATACATACTTTACTCATGTCACTTTAATCACCTTATTTTCTGCTTTGTATTTAGAGTTTCCTAGGCAGTGCATACAACTTGAGTGGTGTGGAAATACCACATACCCTCAGATCTCTAACTATCTATTCTATGGGATAGAATATCTTCTTCAATAATAAATTTCTTTTGGTACTGGCAGTATAATACTCCATTGTATTAGTTTTTTCAGTTGCTGACATACATGTTTGCTTATTTGATGTATCTAATGCTGTAATTTGATGTATTTTAATGTGTCTTTAATTATTAATGACCTTGAGCATCCATTTATGTATATTTTAATCATTTGTATCAACCGCATAAGATACTCCTAGACACATATAGTCTTAACTGCTTCATTTTGAATCCTGTCTTTTCTAGTTAGTAATTTTATTACTTTGAATATTTTCATCTGATTGGCAGGATAGTGTTGCAAAAGGGATGTTAAATAAATTTACAGATTCAGAAAACCTGTATTCTTACCTTAGCATATAATAGCTTGTAAATGAGCAAATTTTTTGAGCAAATTAGTTAAGGCCTGTGAGCTACAATTCCTCATCTATAAAAGGGTGGTAAATTATAATTTTTTTTGAGGAATAAGTTAGAATCATAAATTATATAGAACCATACAAACATAAAATGATAAAATACTTATATTGTCTTCACTTTTAAAAAATACAGAAATATTTTATCAGATCTTTTTTCCTCTGGATGTGTTCATCTTATAACTGGAAGTTTGTATCTTTTGGCTATCTTCACTTAGTTTGCCCACCTCCCATCTCCTGCCTCTGGCAACCACGGATGGATCTGTTCTCTCTATCTATGAGTTAAGGTTTTTGTTTTTGTTTTAGATCCACATGTAATTGAGATTATACAGTATTTGTCTTTCTCTATGTGATTAATTTCATTTAGCATAATGCCCTCAAGGTCCATCCATGGTGTTGCAAATGGCAGGATTTCCTTTTTTAGTGGTTGTATACTATTCCATTGTATATACACCACATTTTTTTAATGCATTCATATGTTGATGAATACTTCAGTTGTTTCCATGTCTTGACTATTATAAATACTGGTGCAGTTTTACTTATTAAAAAACATAGGGATGCAGATATCTTTTTGAGATAGTGAAATATTTCCTTTGTATAAATACCTAGAGGTGGAGTTGCTGATCATATAGTAGTTCTATTTTTAATTTTTTGAGGGATCTCTGTACTGTTTTTCTTTGTGGCTGCACCTCCAATAGTACACAAGAATTCTCTTTTCTTCATATCTTCACCAGCACCTGTTAATTCTTTCTGTCTCTCTTTCTTTTCTGTCATTCGTTCTTTTTTCTTACTTTCCTTCCTTCCTTCCTTCTCTCCCTCCCTCTTTTCTTCCTTTCTTTCTTTCATCATAGTCATTCTAACAGGTGTGAGGTAATGTCTCATTGTGGTTTTGATTTGCATTTCGCTAGTGATTAGCAATGTTGAACACCTTTTCACATACCTATTGGCCCTTTGTATGCTGTCTTTGGAAAAATGTTCAAATCCTCTGTTCATTTTTTAAATGGATTATTGTTGTTTTTTCTCTTGAGTTATATGAGTTCTTTATTTATTTTGGATATTAACCCCTTACCAGATCTATGACTTGTAAGTACTTTCTCCCATTCTGTAGGCTGCCTTTTTATTTTGTTGATGGTTTCCTTTGCTTTACAGGAGCTTTTTGGTTAGCTGTGTCCCACTTACTTATTTTTGCTTCTGTTGCCTTTGCTTTTGGTGTCAAATCAAAAATATCATTGCCAAGATTGGTATCAAGGAAGTTATAAAACTTTGTGGTACAGAGTCTTTGGGATTAAGGAAAGGGCTAACTATAACTTCTCTATTTACTAATAAATAATTGTAGCTTTCATTTATCAAGCCTATAGTATATGCTGGTTACTGTGACTAGCACTGTACATATGTATCAGTTCGAGACTACTTTTAAGTATTCATTTACACAAGCAAAAATGAATAAATTAGACAAGGTTAATAGTCTAACCCAATCAAAATATAATAATTTCAGCTACTATGCTTTAACTCTAATTGATGCAAAATGGATGTTATTAACTGTAAAATTAAATAATTTGGCCACACTCAGCAGCCAGAAAATAGAGGAAATGGGGAAACACTGTTCTAGACTCTAAAACTCACTTTATTAAACCTCTGATGTTTATATTGATAACTGTTAACTGAGTGCTTATCTTTGTATAGATGTTTTAGTAGTTGCTTTAAGTATTGCCTTAAAAACACATAACTTACCAGTCTACAGGTATTTATGTTTTACCAGTTGGAATGAAGTGTAGAAACTTTACCTCTCTGAAGTCCCTTTACCTTCTCTCACTTATAATTGTCTTAAATATTTCCTCTACATATATTTAAAACTGTAAGAGTGTTAAACTTTTTGCTTCAACTGTCAAACATAATGTAGAACACTTAAGAAGAGAATGGAAATTATATTTACCCATATTTTTTCTCTTTCTGTTGTTCTTTCTTCTGGGATATATAAGACAAAAAGAAAACCCAGAGTACTCACTGCACATTGCTCCTTTAGCTCCTAGATCCCTAGCAGGTCTGCTTTTTCTTTCGACCTTTCACAATCGTCTTGTATTTGTTTTGAGTGTCTAGGGTTTTTTAGCTGTTCTTAGTGGGAAGGATAGGGAGAAGTGTGTCTTCTCTGTCTTGGGCTGGAACCAAAAATTGCTTTACTTAAAGATAAAAAAATTAAGTTAGGTGGAGTTGTTTCATCTAGTCTTCCTAACTGTTATTTGGGAAGAGATGTTTGAGGCCATTAAATATCTGGATTAAATTATACTCTTGACATATCCTAGTTATGTAGTTGCCTGTCCTTGGGTTGAAAAATATGTGTAGAAGGAGATTTTTCTAGCTTACCTTTTAATTCTTTGAGTCAGAAGGTTCTTCTTAATAACAATAAAAAAAAGAAGTTTCATTGATTTTGGTTTTGCCACTTATTTGCTTTACAAGTTTGGGAAAGTTATTAAAGTTTTATTTAATATTTAATTTCTTCCACTTAAAAATGGGAATAAAGTACTTATATCATAAGTTGTTGAGAAGATTAAATAGTATTAAAATCGTGAAGCAGTGAGAAAAGCACTGTGCATTCAGAAAGCACTATATAAATACAGCTATTATTGTTACACTTAGAATGATATACCCATATGATGGGAATTATTACAGTCATTTCAAGGATAAAAAATACAGGCTCTGAGAAGGTAAGATACCTTGCCTGATTCTTTATGGCCCAATTCTACATCGGTATTGCCAGGATTTATACCCAGTTCTGTCTGACCTTAGAGCTTACACTTTTCAGGGTATCATATCAACATCATCAAATCTCTATGCCTCCCTGCATTTTCACCTAACATTGTATTATGTGTGTTTGTCTTCATACTTAACATTTTAAACTGAGCCAGCTTCTCTTATTTTAGAATATATAAATTATGCCTTTGTCATCCATCTGGCTCGTGTATTCATGAATTGAATACTAGCCAATAATGTCATTATAATATTCTTCATACATGCTGTAGTAAAGATTAGCCTTTAAAGGGCTTTCATGCCTCTTATATAAAGATTGAAATATAATATGTCATTAAATTTTTCAATAGCATAAAATGTTTATTATACATTTGAATCTCTGTTATTCTGTAGAAAACTTTTTGAGTCTGATTTTTTGAATCTCTGTTCTTTAAGAGTTCTTTAGAAAGACTGAATCTTTATTCATTATTTGTGTTGTATATAACTTGGAGTTTTTCAATGTATGTTAGCTCTTATTAATTATTAAATGTAGTGTTTGAAGACTGAAGCTTATTGAGAGTTGGCTTGAATACAAGTCTTTAGTTTGAAATTGTATGTGTATATATTTTTTTCTAAAATATATTTTTGATACTTTCTGCATATAAATACTTTCTGCATATAAAATTTTTGATACTTTCTGCATATAAAAATAAATATATAAACATGAAAATGACTTTAAGTCTTAATTCTCATTCTTTTAAGAGTTGATTTTATTTGCTATTTTGTCTAGGATTTTGATTATAGATATTTATATATGTGCTCTTGGGTCATATTCATACACTTAGTTTTCAATTCAACAAATATTTAATAAAGGGCTTGTTCTGTTTTAGGCACTGTGCTGTAAGTTCCTGCTCTACTGGTACATATCTTTTAGTATAAGAAATAAACCAATAAGTGTTTTGATAGAGAATAATGAGGGATAGTGATATCCTTTTTTTTTTTTCTAAAGATGTTGTAGCATTCTTGTAGGGTCTTATAGTTATTCTTTCATTTTTTCTTGATTTCAGTGTCCCAGTTTTATTCTGGGACCTACCCTTAGAGATAAATCCTGGTTAGTCTAAGCCATAATGGCAATCCCATTCCACTATCTGTGATTGATTTTGGACGAGTTGATCCTGGATAATAAAATGGAAAATCTTCTGGGGAGACTTCTGTCAGTAGTTTACTCTCCCTTAAAATGACACAAACTAGGAGAGATTGCCAATTGTTCTTTGGTAATGAACCATCATTACATGTGGCTGGAATCGAGGCAGCCGACTAGTTACCATCAAGAGCAAGCCTGAGAACAAAAGCTGACATGCCAACGGGGTAGAATAGAATAGAAAGATGGGAAGAGATTCTTGACAATTTATGGACTGGTTGAGTTATCTTTTAACAATTGAGAAATTAAAATTTCCTTACTTTTTAAAGCCATTTTGAGTTGGGTTTCCTCTTGCTTGTATCTTAACAGGTCATAATTGATGAATGTTCAGGGTCTGTCTCTGCAAAGAGGTGACATTTAAATAGAGATCTGAATTACTAGAACGAGCCAAAGGAATTGAAGGTCAGGTAGAAGGAACAGCAAGAATGAAGTCCCCATGATAGGTAAGAACTTGGAATATTCTAGAACCTGGCAGAAAGCTGGTTTACCTAGTTTCTAATGAACAAGGGAAAGACAATAGTAACTAATATTTATAAATTGCATTACAGTTTATAAATCACTTATAAATATATTGTTTCACATGATCTTCACAGTTATGTGAGGATATATTATTATTTCTACTTTATAATTGGGTAAGCTGCCTGTGTATTTATAACTAGTGATTGATTTGAAATGGTTGCTCTTTCTGCTACTGTTATCATGCTGTCAATCAATTATATATTATATATTATATATATTTGATAAACAGTTAACATGGTAAGAGTTCACTTTTAAAAAAATTTATTAGTACTATCACTTTTTGGCCATATTAATTTATTCAGGGCCAAAGGCCAGATTTCTGGACCCATTTGAATAGTATAAATTAATTGCATCAGTGAACACAGCCTGATATGTTATCTTGAGTTAAGGTGAGTAAGGTACTCCTAATAGAAACCTCATAAATATGATTATTTGTTTGCATTTTGTAACTTGGGAGAGTAATTTCTAAGATATTGGTTGTTTCAGTTAATTTAAATGGAGTATTTTGTGCTCCTGTATTCAGGATGCCTTCCTGGCATTTTAAATTCACATGTGCATATACTGTGACCTTCCTGATAAGCAGTATGAAAGTATGATAGATCATTCTGTAAGTAATGAATGAAAATTGAATTTGGTGATCATGGTAGGGGCTATATGATAATTGCCTTTTCTTTCCTTTCCTGCCCTCCCTTTCTCCTCTCCTGCCCTTCCCTCCTCCCTCCCTTTATTCTACATTTCAGTTTGGTTGGTTTCACAAAGTGCTTTTGCATAAATAAAAGTTGATTTCAACTAACATTAAGGGGCCATTTTAATTTGTGATAACTATTACTGCTTTTTCTATTTCTTTCTTAAATTAATATACTCATAGCTTTTTCATTAAGGTATTATTGATATACACTCTTATGAAGGTTTCACATGAAAAAACAATGTGGTTACCACATTTACCCATATTATCAAGTCCCCCCCATACCCCAGTGCAGGCACTGTCCATCAGTGTAGTAAGATGCCACAGATTCACTGTTTGCCTGTTCACTGTTGTGTGAGTTCTTTAATTTTGCATGTTAACCCCTTGTCGGATATGTCGTTTACAAATATATTCTTCCATACTGTAGGATACCTTTTTGTTCTATTGATGGTGTCCTTTGCCGTACAGAAGCCTTTTTTGTTTGATGTAATCCCATGTATTATTTTTGCTTTTGTTTCCCTTCCTTGAGGAGATGCGTTTAGGAAAAAATTGGTCATGTTTATATTCAGGAGATTTTTGCCAATGTTGTCTTCTAAGAGTTTTATGGTTTCATAACTTATATTCAGGTCTTTGATCCATTTTGAGTTGATGTTGGCTGTGGGTTTGTCAAATATGGGCTTTATTATGTTGAGGTACTTGCTGTCTATACCCATTTTGTTGAGAGTTTTTATCATTAATGGATGTTGAATTTTGTCAAATGCTTTTTCAGCATCTATGGAGATGATCATGTGGTTTTTGTCTTTCTTTTTGTTGATGTGGTGGATGATGTTGATAGATTTTCTAATATTGTACCATCCTTGCATCCCTGGAATAAATCCTACTTGATCATGGTGGATGATCTTTTTGATATATTTTTAAATTCGATTTGCTAATATTTTGTTGAGTATTTTTGCATCTATGTTCATCAGGGATATTGGTCTGTAATTTTCTTTTTTTGTGGTGTCTTTGCCTGATTTTGGTATTAGAGTGATGCTGGCCTCATAGATTGAATTTGGAAGTATTCCCTCTTCTTCTACTCTTTAGAAAACTTTAAGGAGGACGGGTAGTAGGTCTCACTAAATGTTTGATAAAATTGAGCGGTGAAGCCATCTGGTCAGATATTTTGTTCTTAGGTAGTTTTTGATTACCAGTTCAATTTCGTTGCTGGTAATTGGTCTGTTCAGATTTTCTGTTTCTTTCTGGGTCAGCCTTGGAAGGTTGTATTTTTCTAGAAAGTTGTTCATTTCTTCTAGGTTATCCAGTTTGTTAGCATATAATTTTCATAGTACTCTCTAATAATTCTTTGTATTTCTGTGGTGTCTGTAGTGATTTTTCCTTTCTCATTTCTGATTCTGTTTATGTGTGTAGACTCTCTTCTTGATAAGTCTGGCTTGGGGTTTATCTATTTTGTTTATTTCGTTCATAGCAAAATAGGCAAAGCTCTTAGTCATTTCATTGTACAGCATATTGTCATACACTTACTTTTGGCGTCAACATTAAATTGAAGCCACCTGAATGTGATTCTTGGAAACATAATTTTCACGTAGTCAGATGATAAAGGAAGTGGCTCTGGGTCATTTTCTTGTTTTTAGATATTAGAACAGTGAATTTGACAGTGTTATGAATGGTACTCTTATTTTTTTTTTTTTGGTTCTAATGGAATGATTAAATTATTGCTATCTTTAAGAAATTAATTAGATTATATAGTTTATATTCATTTTCTCCTATATTACTCATTATGTTAGTTGCTGCAAGAAGAGGCTTTTTTGGATTTAGTGGCATTACTACCCTTTGCAATTAGAATCCACTAGAATATTACCTCTTGAGGGCAGAGATTTTTGACTGTCTTGTTCACTGCTACAACCCTAGTGCCTAGAAGAGTGTTTATGGAATAGGGACTCAATAAGTATTTTTTGAATCAGTGAATGAATGAATCATGGTGTTTTTTAGAATTAGGTCAAATACATGGTAAGTTTGTTCCAGATGCTTTCCATTGTAAATGTTGAAAACCATGCCGTATATTTAAAAATAAATAGAGCTTAATATTATGAATGACTGTATTGAGTGATGTAACTTATTTAGAAGGTAAACTACTAATTGGTAGCACAAAGAGTATGCTTCAAACAGGATAATTGTAAAGAACAAGACGTTTTCTTATGCCATTTCTCTTTTTTCAAATGTGAGAGCTCCCTTCTCTAAGCAACTGTGAAATTTTTCCTGATTTTCAAGGTACTAAAATCTCTTTTCTCTAAGAAATCCCATAGCAGATATCCTCTATTTTCACTGTCTATTTTGTATTTTGAAGTACTCTTTCATTTTTATCTCTTCTTATTTCCACTATTGTTTTTTTGTTACATTTATTTTTATTTTTTAATTACCTGTTGCTCTGGGGAAATGCTGTCTGATTCATCATGAGATAGTGGAAATGTTCTGTATCTGTACCATACATAAAGGTAGTAGTCACCAGACACAAGGCTATTGAGCAATTGAAATGTGATTAATGTGGCTGAGGAACTAAATTTTTTATTTCATTTCTAATTTACATAGTTACATATGGTTAGTGGCATTGAAGCAGACAGTGCAGCTGTAGGGCTTATAATATACATCTTAAGTTATCAGTCTACCTTCAAATAACATGCCACTTAATGTGTAGTTGTAACTTTATTACAGTGCACTTCCATATCCTTCCTCCCATTCTTTTGTGTTTTATAGTCATATATTCTACAGATTTATAAACCCAATGATAAATTGTGGCCATTTTTTTAGACAGCTTTTTATCTTTTAACATGATTAAATTAAGGGAAATATGCCTTTATTTTCTTCAGATTTTACCTTTTCTGCTGCTACTTATTTCTCTGTGTAGATCCAGATTTCTGTGTGGTATCATACTCCTTCTACTTGAAGGATATCAACATTTTTTTGGAGTGTAGTTTCTCTGGCACAGTGTATTGTTAGTTGTCTTTTTTTCTGGAAAAGTCTATTTTTGAAAGATATTTTGACTGGGTATACAATTCTGAGTCAAATCTCCCCTTCCAGTATTTTAAAGATATTTCTCCATTATCTTTTTGCTGACATTGTTTGCTGACAGAGTTTCATTTTGGATATCTACTGACCTGTCTTCATGTTCACTAATTCTTTTTCACCTTTGTCCAGTTTTCTGATGTCTGTTGAAGGTCCTCTGGTATTATTTTATTTTATGTTTATTTAGTATTTCATCTGAATCATTTACCACAAGATCACTTACTATCTCAATTACAATTATTCTAAGTTTTCTATTTCATAGTTCCAACATCTGGTTCATTTATGGGACTTGCTCTGCTGTTTGCTTTATCTCTTGAAAAATGGTTTGTTATGTTTTGCTTTCTATATATGTCTAATATTTCCTTGTTGCATACCAGTATTAACAGGTAAAACCAGTGAAGACTGAGGTCAATAATATGCCCAGAAATGGGCTTTCTTCTTCTTTGAGGCTGTCTGTTTGTGACAGGAACTGAGTCAGCTTATTCAGTGATTGAGTTCGGTTTGTCTGTTGTTATTGTAGTAGGTCCTTTCACTAAAGCAGAGGCTTAAAATTACTGCAGTAGTGGACTACGGCTGTCTCATTCCTGGTTATGAGCCCTGGAGTGCTAGAGTGTTTCTTTACTATTCTAATCCATCCATAGCCTTTAGCATGTCTTTGGATGCCTAAATCACAGGATGATTCCTTCTTTGTAAGTTTTGATTAGTTGTTGGACATTGTGAATTTAAAATTTTTAAGTGTCTGTATTTTGTTGTCTTTCTGTGAAGAATGTTGAGTTTTATTTTGGTAGACATCTAATTTACTTTCAGATCACCTTGTTCCTTTTGTAGCTTGTTTTTAAGTTTTGTTATGACTCTTGTTAGCATATGCTTTATTCCATGGCTAGGGTTGTCAAACTTTTACTCATGAGCCAAATCTGCTCCACAGCTTGTTTTTGAATAGATTTAGAATGGATTTTACATGCTTAGAATCCAACTTCAGAATGGATTTTACGTTTTTAAAGGGTTATAAAAAAACAAAAATAAAAATGAAAAATATGTGATGGAGACTGTATGTGTCTCACATAGCTAAGATATTTACTATTTTACCCTTTATAAAAATTTTTCTGATCTCTACTCCAGGGCTTGCTTAACCCTAACTTCAAAGATGCTTTATTTCTTCGGTTTCTACTATATGCCCCA